TTTGATTTAAATCATTTTAAACTTCTGCACAATTCAAGAATCATTTCCATGCTGTACACACAAACAAGAAAATAAAAGCTTGTGGTATATAACAGTAAAATATATTGATACTACTAAGGACAACACAACTCCTAAATATTTACTTTCTTTGAAAAATATATTTACAGAATAACTAATGGCAAAAATCAGTAGAATATAAGTATTATAGTTATAGACTTATAGAATATAAATTATAATTATTCAAGAAAAAATACAATTAAATAATATGCCTAGATTAAACTACTTCCAAAATATATTTTAAATTCTGTTGTATTTTATGTTAATTTACATTAGACATTTCAAGAATTTTTAAATAAAATTTAATGCAAAACATGTTGTAATAACAAAAATATTTTTAAATTATGAATTATTATTTTGGTATAAACAGATTTAATTTCAACTTCTTTACCATAACACAGTTAAGGTTTAATACAATCTTTTTATATTTTTATAGCTTAATCTGCATATATTCAGAAAAGTTATTACAGCTCTTCTTTGAGAACACTGCCATCTAGTGTACAGTCTAAATGAGGATGAAGCATGCATTTGAACTTTTTCATTCTGCAATTTAGTCTAAGATGGAATTACATTCCATGGTGAAACTATGCCTTCAATACTACTTAACTGCACACTGGAATAATGACATTTGTTCTCTCATCTGGAAAGCATGCTAAATATGCAAACACATTAATTCTGAAAATATATTGTAAATATATTCACATCATAAGTATACCAAGATGTATTTGACAGCCAAAAGTAAGAGAACATACAGCTAAACATCCTACACAAGTTTTCCTGTGTAGTGCTTCCTGTCTTATCACTCCCTTTCACATTACTAGAGTAAATTAAACTGAAGTTTGCCCCTTGAGACTGGCAAAATAGAGGCAAAACTCTGAATTTCACAGTTGCAGTTGGATAGTCAAGTTGTTTAGCTTCTTTCCTGTTATTTCATCTTATGCCTTAAAGGTTGCACTCATTCCATTTAAAAATGAAATGTTGTGGAAAGATCACAGTGACAGTGTCTTCAAACATTTGAAGGCAGGCAGAGAGAAAGAAAGAAAAAGGCTTAAAACAAGAAGTACCGCCTACATAGTGGAACATCAGTAGATTTAGAACACAAGTGAATCCAGTCTGAGCATTACTTGCATTATATCTTATTTTCTTCTCAGTTTCTTTAAGTGTCATAAGACTACATTTCTTATTGAACTAAACCTAGATCAATCATTGCTGACAAACTAACATCATTAAATTAGACAACAGCCTCAGTATTCCAGTTTCAGCTTCAACACTTTGTGTCTTAAATCAATAACTGCATTAGAGCAAAACACAAACATCCTGTAAGGATAGGGGTTGTGAAAAATACCTTGACTGATAGACTTCAACAGACTTCACAGTACAGTTAAGTAAAGAATCAACAAGGCATTCATTAAAAAGCAATTATCTCAGACTATATCTGGCACTAGCCAGAAAAAAAAGTGAATAGATATACCTGGCCAAATTTATGCATTTTTATGAACACTCAAACACAAAAAGGAAGCCTAAAGAGGATGGAAGCAAGGACAGGGAGCCTGGGAGGAATACACAGAAACTGTCCAAGCAGGCAGGGAACAGGTTAGGAAGGCCAAAGCCCTGACAGAATTAAATATCACCAGGGACATCAAGGACAACAGGAAAAGCTTCTATAGGCATGGCAGGGATCAAAGGAAGACTAGGGGAAAACGTGAGCCCTATCCAGAAGCAAATGGGAGACCTGGTTCCCTGGAACATGGAGAAGGCCGAGGGACAAAACAACTTTTTGGCCTCAGTCTTCACCGGCAAGGGCTCCAGCCACACTGCCCAAGATGCAGAAAGCAAAGGAGAGGACTGAAAAAATGAAGAACTTCCCACTGTAGGAGAAGATCAGGTTCAACACTACCTAAGGAACCTAAAGGTGCACAAGTCCATGGGACCTGATGAGATGCATCCACAAGTCCTGAGGGAACTGGCAGATGAAGTGGCTAAGCCACTATCCATCATATTTGACAAATCATGGCAGTCCAGTGAAGTTCTCACTGACTGGAAAAGGAGAAACATAACCCCCATTTTTAAAAAGGAAAAAAGCAAGACCCAGGCAACTATAGGCCAGTCAGTCTCAACTCTGTGCCCAGCAAGATCATGGAGTGGATCCTCCTGGAAACTATGCTAGGGCACATGGAAAACAAGGAGGTGACTGCTGACAAACAACAGGGCTTCACTAAGGGCAAATCAAGCCTGACAAATCTGCTGACCTTCTATGATGGGGTTACAGTGTTGGTGGATAAGGGAAGACCAACTGACATCATCTACCTGGACTTGTACAAAGCATCTGACACTGCCTCACATGACATCTTTGTCTCTGAATTGGAGAAACATGGATGTGATGAATGGACCACTTGGCGGATAAGGAACTGGCTGGATGGTTGCACTCAAAGAGTTGAGGTCAACAGCTCGACATCCAGGCAGAGAGCAGTGATGAGTGGCATTCCTTGGGGGCTGGTATTGGCACCAGCACTGTTTAACATCTTCAGCAGCAACATGGACAGTGGCATCGAGGGCACACACAGCAAGTCTGCTGACAACACCAAGCTGTGTGCTACAGCTGACACACTCTGGAGGGAAGGGATGTGTCATGGTCCCATCCAGAGGGATCTGGACAGGCTGGAGAGGTGGGCCCATGCAAACCTCATGGAGTTCAACAAGGCCAAGTGCAAGGTCCTGCACATGGGTCAGGGCAATCCCAAGCACAGATACAGGCTGGGCAATGAGTGGATTGAGAACAGCCCTTCAGAGGAGGATTTGGGAGTACTGGTGGATGAAAAACTGACTATGAGTCAGAAAAGTGTGCCCACAGCCCAGAAAGCCAACAGTATCCCGGGCTGCATCAAGAGAAGTGTGGCTAGCAGGTCACGAGAGGTGATTCTCCCCTTCTACTTGCTCTCAATAGACCTCACCTGGAGTGCTGTATCCAGCTCTGGAGTCCCCAACAAAAGGTCAGGGGACATGCTCAAACAGGTCCAGAGGAGGACCACAAAGATGATCAGGGGGCTGAAGCACCTCCCCTGTGAGGACAGGCTGAGAAAGTTGAGGTTTTTCAGCCTAGAGGAGAGGAGGCTCCAGGGAGATCTTATAGTGGCTTTTCAGTACTTAAAGGGGACCTGCAAGAAAGATACAGAGGGACTCTATGAGGGAATGTAGCAATAGGATGAGCAGTAAGTTCTAAACCAAAAGAGTGAAGACTTAGTTTAGGTATAAGGAAGAAATTCTTTACTGTGAGGGTGGCGAGACACTGAAACAGGTTGCCCAAATAAGCTGTGGCTGCCCCCTCCCTGGCAGTGTTTAAGGCCAGGTTGGACAGGACTTTGAGCAACCTGGTCTAGTAGAAGGTGTCCCTGCCCCTGGCACAGGAGGTTTGAACTAGATGATCTTTAAGGTCCCTTCCAACCCAAACCATTCTATGATAACACTATGGTCCCTGTGTTCTTTGTACTCCAAAGTTGCTATAAGCAGCTACAAGGCTACAGCCATCATCCTGAATCGGGTCAGAAACTGCCTGCTTCAACCACCTTTACTGTTCCTTCATATGGCATTTGCCCATAGGAAACTTCACATGGCTTTGAAATACTCAGAGTTCTTCTGAAAGCACGGTTAATTTCTGAGGTGCTGCAAGGTGACAGAAGAAAGGCAAGAAACAAGATCAGGATGCATAAGCATGTCTAAATTTGATTTTTTCAGCCACTTCCTGAGCACCTCTGAAAGCTAATCCATTGGCCTCTCAAATGGTGTAGAGCGTAAGCTGAAAAAAAATCACTCTCAATTACAAAAAAGTAAATGCTTACAAAACAGATTTCTGAAGCTGTTGTCTAATAACTTCTCATGTGTCAGATCATATAATAGACTTTAGCTAAAGCAGTTTGAGAGAAAACAATTTGAAGGTGTTTGTTTCCTACTGCACCTGTAAAGCACCTGGCTCCCCACCACTATTTAAAAAGATACTTACGACTGAGTAAATAAAGCACTACAATTCTCCAGCTTCTCTACTGCCTGATTTTACAATATGTATATTGATGTTTGGTTATTCTACAGAGTTGGGAGATTAATTTTGCTGAACATCTGCGTAAACACTGAACAACCATGATTAAAGCAGTAGCAAAATTTTTTTAGGTATTTTGAGCATGTCTGTGTTCATGTAAAGTTGTAGGAAACATCAGATTTAAATTTGGTTAAATTTAAGACCCAACAAGGAAAGGTAGAAAATATTTCTGTAAGTAAAAGTTAAGCACAACTGGAAATCAGGAAAGAAATTGAGATCTTCTAACGTGGACATAAAAGATCTAAGAATCAAGTTGACAATGGAAAATTATTTTTACTTACAGAGAGTATGTATTTACACTTGACAAAACCAGAGCTCTAGAGAAAACTCTAGATTAACTTAATTCTACTCAACTCTATAGTTATGCTGCCATCTAGTGAACGGGATATTGACTCTCCTCTGCAACACTTAAAATTGGTTCAAATGAAAAACATTATCCCTAAAATACATGTATCACAGTAAACACCTTACTCTTGCCTCCGTGCCTTCTCCGCCACCACATTTTTATAACACGTTACAAGATTATTAATTTTGGCCATAGGACAGTGAACGTTTACACACTGAACTTGAAATGCAAACATGCAAACAGACTTCAATGAGAAGCAAAAAAAACTAATCAACGCAGATCACAGCTCAGAATAAGGAAAAAGCTATTAGTAGGTTTCAGACCATTACACAGATAAAGTCTTAAATTCAGAGCTAGTAATACAGATAAATATTACTCTGAACCTTCAGACTTAGTTGTGATTGTTTTCTCATTATATTTAATTAGAATGATGACTTACAAAAAAACAATGTAAAACCTTTTCAGACATTTCAGACAGTAAAAAGGAAATACAAAGTAAGTACATACCTGGGAAAATATATTTGCAGTTGGAGCAACTCTGTTATCCACAATACTATATAGTATTGCTAACAATCTGTCCAGGGGAAATGGCTTTGGCCCAAGGAGGTGATTGCTGGTCTGCAACAGAAACAAGACTTTTCAATCCAATAGATCTTTCCTGAAGTACCACAAGATGTTATCTGCCCATCTTTTTAGTCTCTGGGTAGGCACTATAATTCACAGTAGTCTTTCATACAGTCTACTTACATACTATGGAAAACACTGAATATATGCTCATTGATCAAGGTAAAGATATAGACACAGAACTCTATTTAACATAGCAAGGGTTCAAACTCCACAATAAATAGGAACATTTTTGAGCTATAACAGACGATCTGATGCCAAATTTCCTGTCACTAGGTTTATAGATTTACTTGTCCTATTAAATTACCTTTCCCAATATAAGAATTCAAGAGGAAAGACTATATTTTATGGCATTTTCAAGGTGCACACTGTTTTCTTCATAGTTTATCAACAGTATGACAAGTTAGCTTTCTTAAAAGCACACAGAATTTATAGCTAGTAAAAAAATTTAAAGGTTAGATTTATTCTACTGTCTACAGTCAGTCTATAATCCGTGATCACCTACAAAGAACTGCACATAACAGAACAATATTTTTTACAGATCTGTAAAACCAAACAACTTTAAAGTGTATTTTTGTCTTTTGTTAACTGAAGACAAATATTTTACTAGCATCTTCACTTTGAAAAAAAAAAAGCATAAAAAAAAGAAGATTCTGCTAAAGTATCAATGTATCCACTTTCTTTGAACCACTTCAGCCAAAGCCTTTTCTCTTCCTGTCACAGAGGTGCAAAGTCATAACAAGAGTTTCTCATCTTAAATGCCATATTAAACTACTCTATGGTCTAGAACATGAGTAGAATAACTTGCAGTGGGCACCAATTATAATACAGGAAATTATATTTAAATGTAGGAAAAAACTTTTTTTAACCCTGAGGGAGATTAAACACTACAACTTATTGCCCAAGACAGGTTGTGGAGTGAGTCTCCATCCTTGCAGATATTCAAAACCCACCTGGGCATAGTGCTGAGCAAATTGGTCTAGGTCACCCTGCCTGAGCAGGGGGGTTGGACTAGACCAATTGTCCTTGTCTACCTCAACTCTTCTGTGAATTCAACATTCTAAAACCAATTTTAAAAAAAATAAAAAACCAACAAAAACCCACGCTCAACTCTCTGCAGGAATAAAATACATTACTCATTTTTTTCCAACAAAGTTGCTGAGGTTTTTATATTTTGGGCTGATCTTTTTAGTTTTCATTTTCTCTTTTGCTTCCTTTACACCACAATGAAAATGTTACCATTTTGATACCAAAACCAAACAAACCATTTTTGATCTGGAAATTAGAAGTGAGAACACTTCAATTTACTGTTTTACACAGGAAATGCCTTAATTACTGTATTTCTACTTTCTTAGAATACACTCAATCATAGGATAATTCTGACTGGAGATGATCTTAGGAGGTCTCTAGTCAAACTCCTTCTGCTGAGAGAGTATCAGCTACAAGGTCACACAAGGTTGCTCAGACTTTACCAGTCCAGTCTTGGAGACCTCCAAGGACAGAGACTGCAACACCTCTCTGGGAAACCAGTGTCACTGCCTGGCTGTCCTCATAAAGAAAAAAAGGTTTTCCTTTTATCTAGTATAAACATTTCAGCTTACATTCACTGTTTCTCTCTCATCATCCAGCATCATATCACATAGTCTTGATGATCTCTCCTTGCAGGCACAGGACAGGCTGCTTTTAGGCCCACCTTCTCCAGCTTGCACAACCACAGTCCCTTCAGCCTCTCCTTGCAGGGCAAGTACTCCAGCCTCTGACTGTTCTGATACCTCTCTGTGGAATTCGTTCTGGTTCATAGATGTGTGGCTTGTACTGGAGTGGGGCAAAACTGGACAGAGTATTCAAGATGCAGCCCAAAATGTGCTGAGTGTAAGGGCTTAGAGTGCATCTGCCTCCCATAAGTTTTAGCTGGATAAAATAAAGAAGAGTTCAGATGGCTGAGCGCAAGGTCAGCTCCTTTGCTGCTAAGAGGTGTTGTGTAGAGAGCTACCTGTCAGTTACACAAACTGTGTTATCAGAACACGGCATACCTACTCAACTTTGCGTTTACAGAGCTATTCTGTTTCTTATCCTTCTTTTGCACCATACACATCAACTTCACACTGAGGGACATTTCAGGCATTATAGGTTATTGCATGTGGTAACATTGAATTCAACTGAATTCACATAAATATGAGTTCCTGATTTTTCTATGTTAATTATTTTTAAAATCACAGATTTTATGAAAAGGATAAGTATGGTTCATAGGGCAGAACTGAGTAGTATTACAACTCAGGCAGCATTGTTAGGACTACAGAGATTTATTTATGACCTGTACTGTCAAAAGTTCTGAAAGGGATGTACTTGTTTCCTTTTAAGTTTATATTTCATTCAGTCTACTTTGACATCCAGCTTCCTTTTTCATAGTGTACATTGATTTATTCTTACTAGCAGAGCAGCCAAGATTAAAGAGAAATTTCAAAAGAAAGTTTGTTTCAAAAGGCTTCTGGGAAAGAACCCCTCTCAAGTATGCCACCAGCACATCTGTGGCATTAGTCATCAGTAAAACACAACCACTCGTTTCTTCAGCAAAACAAAAAGGTATTTCCAATACATGTTTTAGCTTTTCAAGTCCAGGTGGTGTCCCCAAAGCTACCACATGGCTAACAAAGAAAGCAGCGTGACAAATAGTGGAAACACGTAGTCAAAAATTTATCACGGCACACTCAGAATGCAGGTATGGTGTAAAGTTTTGAATTGTACAGTCCCCTGACCTCTCCTTCTAAAACCAGTTCTGTGAAGCATATTTATTATCAACAGAAAAAGTCAACAGACATAGAGTAATTAAAATGTGTGCGCTGCTAGCAAGCACAGTTAGCACGCAGTAATCCCTGAAGTTGTATTTACTTTACAGTTACTTCACAAGTTTCTTGCTCTTAGTATTAGCAGCTCTCTGCTTAGACAGAATACTGTTTTGAACTTTCAAATTATTTGAAAGAAATGCTTTATTCAGAAAAGCCAGGAGAGGTAATTCTAAGAGAGTGTAACTTCTAGAAGCAGCACTTCATTTGTACTTCAAGAGAAATAAATTCCTGGATGAATAGGAATGGTTTAGAAATTCCTCCAAACAGAACATAGTAAAGAATAAGATTTTTATAAATCTTCTGCAAGGACCTAAGGCAGAAAATACAAAATAGAATAGTATTTATAAAAATCCAAGGGACCCCTTATATCACATAAAAACAAAGATACCTTCCATATTCAGAAAACCTCTTCAGAAAGTTTTCTGGTCATCAAATTAACTCTGTGTCCTCTATCATCTTTCCACCTTGGCACTACACTTGTCAAATGGTTCAAAAAAACACTTTACCCCAGTTGCCACTATGTGTTTGTGTGCTTTTTAGCCACAGTGTCAGAGTTTCATGTTCCTTCTGTTTAATTGGCCTAATTCTTTCACCATCCCACAACTGTGAGCTGTGTAGTACCATTCCAAGGTTTCACAAGCAAGAGTGAGAACCAAAAGTGTTCTTTAAAGAGTTAAAAGTTTAACCCAAGCTAAATTACCTGCACAAAAGGGAGAAAGTCCTTAACCTCAGGGTTGGCTGAACTTTCAACCTTTTCAGCATATCTCTTTAAATACAGAACTATACTACTTTTTTTTTTTCTTTTTTTTCTTTTTTTTTTTTTTTTAGCAGAAAGCCTTTCTGAATTTTCTAGTTGCTATAAGAATAAAGCATCTTCAGTTGTAAGCTAGAAATTGTGATACAAAATCCTGGACTGAAGTTGAAGCAGATACACTAGACAAACTCTTTTCCAGTAAAAACCATACCATTTGATCTTCTGACAGACATCTGAAAAAAGCATACCGCAAAAGTAGCTTCACCAGGAAGATCTCACTTGTCACTAATCCAGAAAAACATTGTTCCAGGGCAACCATGCAAAGAAACCCAACAAATTCTGCTATTATCAGCAACAAGACAATTAATGGAATGATAAAGTCAATTTTTTCCCTTCATTCACAAGATTTACTTTTTCTAATTAAAAAAACATGGCCTCTGGATGGAACAGTGTTAAGAATCAAGAAACAGATTTTTAGCCTGCCTAAACTTTTAAGGAAGGATTTATTTAATATAATGTTAGCTTACTGCCAAGTAGGTATGTACAGCCAAACTAGTTTCCTAAATTCCCATTATAGCCAGTAGAGATCTAATCAATACAGTTTATGGTGCCATTCATCTGACTGAACATGGAACCTGCTTTAGTATGAGACAAATCACACCCTACACTCCAATGACTGCATTGATCAACTCTGCACTATCTATGAAAAGACACTAACATGCAGGCACCCCACTTGGAGTCAGGTGAATCTGATCTGTAAATCAGTCTTTAGACAAGCTTCTCTGAGGGAAGATACACAACTGAAACAAATGAGCCTTTATTTGTAATGCTACGTATGTAATCCTTTATCCCTGTATTTCATTTTCCCTCACTATAGAATTATAGTATCAAAATATACAAGTTTATATATGGGCAATTTTATCTCTGAAAATATTTATAAAAATTACAGTATAGTAAAAGGAACATAGGTCTGGAAGATCCTCCTAGGACCTACAGTCCTGTTCCCCACTATCACAGCTACGGCACCTCAAAAGCTTTCAAAACCAAACTGTGCTCTGATCTATAAGCAGTTTCTGGCATCAGGCACCCTACCTGTAAACTGGAACACAACACAGACAACCAGGGGTCTGTAACTAGTACCAAAGTGCTTTTGAAATGTCACAAAGTTGCCCTCTTATTCATTAATCCCTAAAACACACCTGTTTCTTGCATGCAATCAGACTTTAATGTAACACTATCAACTCAAGAGATATTTCCTGTTAACTAGGATTATCAAGTACTAATTCCCTTCAAAGCAACACTAGCTTTTAATGCAACAAAGAGGTTCAAGAATTACATCATTTTCAATCTTAATCTTTCCTGATTACACAAATCACTTGTTATAGTTGGACAACAAACCAAGCTTCTTTAACTGCACACGTCTAATCATGCTTTCAGAATATCAATTCAACGCTTAGGTTGTAGGGTAAATGTGAAGTCTACAAAATTAGAATTAATCTAAGTAAAAAAGTAACAATCTTACTCATCTTTTTGACCATTAATTTTGTTTACATTACATTTGAGTTACCCTCAATTTACAGTTGTTTCCTTAGTACCTCCTTCTGGTTTTGTACCTACTCAGCAGCATTTAGTTTGCTGCAGGAACAATAATAAAATGAAAACCAATTTATCATTAATGCAGGCACTTTGGAACACTAAGTAGTGAACTCAGATACAAGTCCATTTAACAAACAATGACACCAGAGAACAAGCTCTACAGTACAGTTAATGTGACCACGACCTCAAGTATTTCTTCATCAAATCTCTATTTTTCCATTTCTTTTACACTGTTAGCTGTTCGCATCTTATCATCCAAGTTGGAAATCTATTGCCAAGAAAGAATAAAACACCTTTCTTGCAGAGGATATAAGGAAAGAACATAATTTTTGTCTAAGACTTAATAATTATTCCTTTCCTGAAAATTATTTATCAGCTAATTAAGAAGCAGAGGTATTTCAAAAATATAGCCATCCTGGAAGTTCTCAGGAATTCATGTGCCATGGACAAAACATACATGAGGTCTACATGTACAGGACACATACATTCAGAGATGAGAATTCCTGAATTTACATAAATATCTACCTAGCAGTGCAACACATTGCACTGTTGAAGTAAAACAATGCTCACTTACACTTTTACATGCAAAAACTGAATACGTGCAAAAAGAGAACTTGGAAAAAGTCTCTGAAGCCAAGGACACTGTCCTCCTGCAGAGGCAGGAAAAAAGTTAGGCAAAATGCTATAGGCAGGAGAAGAAGTGAAGGATTATTAGGCTAAGTATCATACTAAAATTTTTTTCATGTTATTTACACTATCTGTAGCATAGAGAAGAAAAGGATACTTGAAATTATTGTTTCAGCATGGATTTAGTGCTGTCTGCACTGCTTTCATTTACAGATTTACTTAAAAATGAGTCAACAAGTTACAAGTGTTAAAATTTACTCTTTTTACATTACAGTTATAAATATACAAATAGGTATTTGCATTTCCTAGCATACCAAGCCTCTGTCAGTAAGAACTGGTATAGCTCAACTGAAATAAAGGATATTTAGCTATTTATAACCATGAAAATGTCAGTTAATAGCCAAATGGAGTAGGCTAAACTACAGACAAGAGTGCAAAGTTTCCAAGCCTCAACACACAAACTTAAGCTCTTATACCTCACTGCATCACTGGGAATTAAAGTGACTTGACTTTCAGAACTACTAATGATCTATTACTCTAACAACTTTGAGAGAAATTCTAATATCTGTCTCTTCCATGTATGATTTCCTTTAACTAGCTTTATTAAGCTCATTGTTACACACAAAAATACAGCTTCAAGAGAAAAAATTTCAGTTACATAAAAATGTAGGTTTTACTACAGTTAAACTTCAATAAAATGTGTGTATCATACAGAAATTTTTATCATACAAAACAAATGCACCAATAATTGTTATTTATGCAATTCTGTTGTTCCTACAGTAAACAATGAGGCAAAACAAAATACAAAACCAGTAGGAAGTATTTGTTGCCAAGGTCAAATTTAGAAAGATAAAATACATACCTTTTCATGTTTTTTCATAAAGTTGGTCTTTCTAATTTTCCCATGATGCTGTAAACAACATACAAGAACAAATATTATATGTAAATTATTTTATGCTCCCTTCTATAGCAAAGAGAATCAAAACAGTCAAGAAAGAATTGTACATTACATGTACACTAGTCTGTAGTACACTAGTCTGGGTTTGTTTTTTTACTACGCCTCCAGTATTTATCTCTGATGTTACTAGCAGTCCTTCTTACCAGAAGCCCTAAAAAAATAGAGTTGCCTTACTTCTTCCTTCATTGTGTCCCAAGTGGTACAAAGCCAAAACACAACACACTAATATTTTTTGGTGACATGCATAACTTTTTTTTCCTGATCTATTCAGGGACTGATGAGAAGAGGGAGTAAAAAATTTGGTTTTAATATGACTTCATCCTTCTCTATCCTCAATCATCTAATGAAAAAGACAGATCTTTCATTTCTTCCAGAGAAGTTTAAATGATGGCCACTTCATTTTTAAAATGTATCCATGCATAAAATCCATATGAATTTTCACCTTGTATCTGCTCCATTTTAGAATTTGGATGGTACGCAAGGTGGCAGAATGACAACCTGGAATTAAATCAATACAATACAAAGATAGTTCAAGGTGCAGGAGCTAAATAACAAACAGAAAGGGGGATGGAAGGTACATCTTTTACAAAGGCACAGTTTTAAAGCAGCCTTGAAAAAGCAAGGACTGTCCAAAGAAAATAATCAAGTGTTCTTGGATCTCAAATGAAAATGTGAGGACAACACAAGAACAGAAATATAGTTATCAAGATGCTACAACTGAACAGATGAAAAAAATTTAAAAATACAAAGAGAGACATGAAGGAAGATGTGTAAATGATGTAAAATTAGTGGAGAGGTACAAGTATAATATAACATTCCTTAAACATAGTTAAATGCTATTTCTCAAAATATCACCTGATGAGTTTTCTACAGCCCTAAGACATATACCTTACTAATAAGCATACCTTATAAGCATGCACAATGAATCAGGGAAAAAAATGTCTCAGATGAAGGAATTTTTTTTTCATTATCATGTTTAAAATCTTGTACTTAGTATTTGTGGACCTCAATACTCAGCCATGTCAAGACAATCTCAGTAACTGTCGCTCTTGACTGTCTTCTGAAGAGCTTAATATTAGACAGGGCTTTATACTTCCTTTGCATAATTTTTCAGACAAAAAAAAATATTAGTTTATTCGATTAATATATATCAAACATAGAAACAGCAAAGTAATCTTTTTATCATGTATTTGAAAAGAAGACTGTAGTGATAACAAAGACCTTTTGGATGGGGAAAATGATCAAGTCTGAGGCTACAGAGCATGTTAGTTATGGATCATAACAAACTGCATTCCTGCATTTTAAAGGTTATGCTGGAATCTCTATATGGTGTATTGAAGTTTTATCAAAAGTGTTTCAAAGTAAGCAGGTACCCTATTTCTATGCAAGCACAAAGAAATATATTAAATTCAGAGCTAATTTTCAGTTAGTTTTTAATCCTGTTTCCTGTTAAAGTGATGATGTCACATAGATTGCTATACTTTTTTGTTTTAAAGACTACCTTTCAAACTCAACTTTGTATTTTTCTCTCAATCTACTGTAAAGCTCTTGAATTTTCACAAAACTAATAGCAGCGCTGCCAATTTTTATTCATTGCTTTATCATGCTGTTAGCATTACAGGCTGCCACAAACTGTGACTTTAACTGCGGTATAGCCCAGCACCTATACTGGTAGGGTAGATTAGCAGTTCAGCGAACATCTTTTTGCTTGCATCCCTTTTGCTGTCTAGCAGTCCTCTGTTAAAATCACTCCAGAAGATACTTTCCTGTAATCTAATCAGAATCTCATTACAAACCTGATAAAATCATATTCTATTTTCACAGTCCATATGACTCAAAAACACTCAATTTGAACACCCCTCCCAAGAGCGTTGGTTTTGCTGGGCATTGAGATAGATGCAGTTATTTCTGAGACTCACCTTAGCACCTGATGAAGGGCTAACTGCTATCAGATGATACATGTAGCAAGAATGGTAACTTCTCCTGCTTCACCAATTCTTGGGAAAAATATTTAATATCACTGACTGAAATACCTTCACAGTCCCTGCTTCAAAAAATTTAGAAGCTCACATTTATTGTACAAACGTTTAATAGGGTTCACGTGCAAGAGTGGAAACTAACTTCATAGACAGTAAAAAAGGAGAAAGGAAAAAAAATTGAGAATGTTGTTGATTGAACACAAACAAGAAAGATGAAGCACTGTTTGATAACATGCTTTACTGACTTGACTCTTGTAAGCTTTCCTGTTTCTTTTGAGTTCCAAGACTGATAAGGAAAAATCTGGGCAAAACCACTTCTTCAGCAAATAAATTTCTTTCTTACAAAGAAATTGCTTTGCCAAAGTAAAAAGAACAAAGGTTGTCCATAAAAAAAACGTCAATCTGCACTTACTGCAAGTAATCCTCTACTCTTCTCAGGAAAGGACTAGACAGAAGGATGAAACACCTACAGCTTTCAATATAGGATCACACCAGAAACACTAAACCCATATTTAAACAAAAAATTTACTAGTATATCATCATTATGAACTTCAGTAACCTCTCAAAATGTGTCTACATTTAAGAGGAAAGAAGCAAATTTTTAAAAATTTGTCTTGTTCTCATTTTCTTCCATTGTTCACACCTATTTACCTATCATGAATACCATACATATATTAATACATACTGTAGTAATGTAGAAAGCCTTGAAGTTGGTAAAATGCCCAATCACTTTTCTGATGTTTATCTTTCTGACTACATTTTGCCAAATTAAGACCTCAGAAATAACGCAATGAGGGAGGCTTGAGAAACATGAAGATCCTGGAACAGAGACAGACTACTGTGCTAGTTTAAGCCCTGCAGGAACTGGAGACCACATTGCCGTTGTGTCCGAGGGTGGGGGAGGGACAAGTAGAGCACAAAGCCCAGATTAAAATACGGAGAAATTTAATACAACAGTGTAATAAACAATCTGAACAATAACAATAGCAATAATAACAAGAATAAACAGTAATAACAGTAGCCAAGACAAAAGATACACAGAGAAATACCGCAGTGAACACAGCCAGCCCGCTGTGCGTGCTTCCAGCGACAAAAGTCACAAAGGAAAGCTTCCGGAGCTACCATGCTGGACCTGATGTCAGCATGGTATGAAGAACCCAACTGGAGATCCCTTCCCCCTGCTGGGGAAACTTAACCCTATCCTACCTGAATCAGGACAACTACAAACTATGGCACCACAGCATCTGTCTGCAGCATGACCACAACACAGCCCAAAGGAAAAAAAAAAAAAAAAAATCATCAACCTGTACATGGCAAGAACTTACAGCAAATGGGTTTAGCCCATGATTTGGTAGCAAGGATTACTACATTCATCCTAAAACATGATTTTAACACAACATGTGCCAGCTAATGAAACAACATCTTCTGCAAAAGCCACTGTTTGCATGTTTTTGTTTCAGAAGCTTATAAAATTTTAAGTTAACAGTGCACTCTGTCATTTTACCTTATTAAAGGCTAATGAAGCTGCGGGTTGTATCTTACTTCAGAAATTTAAGCATGGCTTATACCTAAGGACACTGCAGGCACTCCCCAAAAACCTTTACAAAATGGAGCTGTATCCACTTAAAAAAAAAAAGCACAATATTCATGCTATAACAGTGTTATGAATGTTTTGACATGAAGAGGAAGTTGGGTTTGTTAGACATTAGTAATTACTAAGTGGCAATCACCAGTCACAATATGTGATCTGCAGAAAAACTTCTGGTCAAATCAAATGAACCACACACAGAAACAGAGCTCAAAATGAATAGTTAAAGAGTTTTAAAATTGGAAATTCAGTATGCAGGAATCCAGTAAGCAGCCCTAATGAAAAAAAAAAAGTCTTATTACCTTAAGAAAGAACCTCTTATCTGTCCTAACAGGATTGTAGGAGGCAAGGTAAGCAGCTATTAAAAGAAATTTGGAGTAATACGGAAGTTCCACATGCGTATGTGCAGAGAGTCCTATAAAATAAACAGACAGTTACAAGTCACCCAAAACCTTCTCTGAACATCCAAACTTCAAGTCAGAATTGTACACATTCTTTTCATTCTCTCCTGCTCTACTCCTGTAATTAAATGAGTATGGCTACTTTCTCAACCCCTTTATCACAGGTATAAAAATCAGTGAAGGGACAAGGAATGGCAGAAACTAAGCAAAGACAACATTCTGAATGCTTTATGGACTCATCTCTGTATTTGAAGCATCAGAAAAAAAAAAAAAAAAAAAAAATCCAGGCTATTTTCACTTAAGGTAAATTTTCTGGTAAACAGAGAAGATGAAGAGATGTATTCAAATACAATCGCAGAGCTTTTCTCCAAGAAAACGTTCAGGCTGCTCCAGACTGTGCCAAACAGCTCATCCAGGAATGGGGCTGGCATGGTGGAGAAACAAGCAGTGCTGCACTTCTGAGAAACAGTTCCACATTTCACAATTTTTAGCTATTGTTTTATTTTGTACAGAAAAGGTTTTCAAATTTCTAAACTTGATCCAGTTGACCTAGCCTGCTACATGTATACTTCATTATGATTAAAGTCTCACACATTAAACACTAGTAAGTAGTTTTCTTCCCTCTTTTTACTTCTACTTTATATTTTTTCCCTTTACATTCCCCCAACTCTTGTCACCACAGTTGCTTCTTTTACACAGCTTATGCACATGAATAGGATGATCAAATCACCTTACTTCATCAGTTGTCTATAGAGACCACTAAAGGGTCTCTCTTGTCCCTTCTTTGTTTACAGGTTTTCACCTCAGCTGTTTCTTATTCTGTGAAGTACCTGTACCCTTATGCTTTAATTCACAAACATCAGCAAATAAAGATCAAAGAACTAAACATGTTTAGAAGTTAAGATTCAGAGCCCCCAGTGTGATGAGAAGCATCCTAGAAGAGCTAGTAATAATTTCCTCTCATATAGGCACAAAAGGAACAGCAGTTGTAGTTTCATTTACAATCATGAAAACTGTCTTGTACTGCATGTTAACTACAAAATGCAATACCAAATAAATTCTTACATATAAACAACTGAGCTTAAAACAGAAATATCCGTTTCTACTCCATTCTTCTAGTCTGCCAATATTGCATCATGCACTGAAGTATTTGCTTATTTACATCCACAGTAAAATTATAATAACATGTTTAAAAAGTATTTATAATCAAATGCTGTTTACCAACAAGTCAATTTTTCCTACTACATGTACATAAAAATCCAAGAAACTGCATTTTAAATAAAGTCTCCATTTTTGGGGTTGTCAGATACAAAAAGTATTTCATGGTCATCTGGACATGGAAGGAGGGAATTTAATAAGACCACTCTAAATCAAACTCTGTTGATCAACAATGTCAAAAAATTACTGATCATAAAAGCAAATATAGGAAACAGTCTGATGATTGCAACTATCTTAAGGCAATTTTTAAACAAGTGGCTATTATACCTACTATCTCAAGAAGATAAGTTATGCCAAATAATAAAGAAAAAGTGTTCCCAAACTACATACTGGTCAAAAGACCATTACTGACTGACATCATCAGGATAATGTAGTATTCCTTCCTAAACTGTAGATGAGAGCTGACAAACATATTGAGATTCGACTTTCAAGTCTGCCTAAAGTATAAAAATCAACAAAGCTGTACTCCTCCAAGGAAAGAACAGAAAGAATTCTCACGATTCTGACATTTCTCTTTGCCAAGAAATCAGGACACAGGATTGCTGTTTTGTTTAGAAGTGTGCTAATCCAGTGTAATACACGAGGTATAATATTCCCTCCTTCCCGCTCAGACAGTTCTGCCAGTTGGCACACAAAGGTTTGACCATGAGGGGTCAGCCCATTCCTCATTCATTTTTACGTAAGAAATACTGATTTAAAGAAGTTTGCTTTTACCCACAGAGGACCTTAGGAAAGATTAGTCCCAGAATATATGCTAGGGGAAAAAAATTATAAGCCCTTTGTAGAACATATTATCAAAAAATGATTACCCTGTAACTTAATGCTAATAGGTAGCCTCATCTACATAATTTCATTCACATGTTCTCAGATAACAACCAAGTCAAACATTACACATTACAAGCCCCCACAGAGAGTTACTGTATCCGATACCTTTCAACTGCCCTGGTTCTCCATCATCACGCTGTAAGCTCTCCCACTGTGAGCTAAAAGACAGATAACACAAATATATAAAGAGAAAGTCTTTGCTAGTCTTTTAGAGAAAACTGCCTGCTTGGTACATTTACATTCTTATTTCATTACACTGGCTATGATACAGTAAGAGAATCATTAAAAACTCCAAGTCTTACTACCTTGCACATAAGTTTCAATAACGTGCAGACTACACATATTTGAAAATACTGCAGAAGGTAATGTTACATTAAGGTACAACAGTGAGTACAAGCTAACAGTAAAAATACCAATTTCTTTCCATCCAACTACCACCAGTAAGCAACTATCAACAGCATTCTAAGTTTCAAGAACAATATAGAATTAGATATAAACGGTTTTTTATAAAAAAAAAAAGCTAGCAGTGTTTTTATCTGCTTAATAACTCTTTATGCTAGTGAAAATAATAACTACTTTATAATGTAATTTTGAAGTCTATGCAAAAAAACAAAGCAATATTCATTCTTTACTGAAGAACTCTGAAGACATCAAGATGGAACATTTTGTCAGTGAAAAAAATGCCTGCAAGTAGTTTGGTATTTTCCTAAACAACAGCAAAAAAATTCACTTTAAAACTTCCCTTAAGGAACAACATTGTTAGAAATGCCATGATTGTAGATCATTTTGTATACCACAAAGGGATAAAAACCCAGGTTTGTTAAAGCACCAGTGCTTTTTTGTTTTGTTTTTTAAAGATCTCTATGAACCAGGTTTATCAGCCATAAACCATAAAATAGGAAAACAGTTTAATGAAAGCTGGTGTCATACTCAAATTATAACAAATGATCAACCAAATTATCAGCGAGCAAAGTTTTTATCCAATGTCTCTTACAGATAGAAAAGAAAAAGCTTTGTTTTCATCTGAGTTCAGGTAGCACAACAGCCATCACCAAAGTTCTATTTCTGTAACTTACAAGTTGAAGAAAAGCTCACAGTAGTTACAGCTCTGTGGCCAGAAAAACTGATATGGTCATTTTAATTCCTTAAGCATTTACTGGTACACAGAACTGTTACACAGAAAGCTAAATTCTAGAATAAAAAAACGAAGTAAAATTCAAATTTATAATCAAAGAAAACTGTAAACAGGGAAATCTAGTTATTTGGAAAAAATTCATAAGCTATTTTATATCATAATCTTAAATTACTCCTTAATTAGAGTAGACAATTACACAATATAAACAGTCAGGAAGATCCCAAGTAGACTGTGTAGTGAAGATTAATATTAATAGTTAAGATTAATATTAAGGATAAATACATATTTAAGGCAAATAGAATAATGCCTCATTGTTCAGTAAAGTCCAGCTCATATGGAGTAAAGTCTTTTTGAAGGAGTGATCACTTTTCCAAAACATTTAGCAAAGACTCCTACTACACATCCAGGTTCAGTTACCAGGATACTCTATGGCCTCAAAGACATTCAAAGGAAAGAAACTGTATCAAGAAATTGAACATTACTGAATTATCTCTCTTTACATAGCATAACATCATAATGACTCATCTTAAAGATGGAGAAGACAATTAAAGCTGAGCCGATTATTACCATTAAAAATTAAAACCACCATCTTTTTTTCTAGCGGTCTGGCAATAAGACATGAAGTATCTAAAACTTTATCAAGAGAATGTGAGACTGAAATGTCACATGACTGTCTCAAAGCTTGCTTGTGTGTGTGCAAACCTCCAAGAGAAGCTGCTGCAGCCAATGAATTGGTCTGGGGGATGCTGCCCAGAGAAGCAGGAGTGTACTGAAGGATGTACCCCCCCACTTCCTTGCAGTTGCACTGTCCGGACTCTTTCGACAACCCTCAAAGGGGCAGACATGGATTGAGCTGGCCCCATCCTGTAGCCGTTTGTGGCTCTATTGTGCAGGACAGACTCTATGCCTGCATTGCTAATGGACTGACAAGAGGCAAACGTTCCTGCCCTTGAAGCCGGATGAAACAAAACCTGTTGGACCAGAGGAAAAAAAAAACAAAAAACAAAAAGGCAAGCATATATGCTGATCAGCGGGTATGATGAACTTAAAAAGGCAGCAGAAAATCCTGTTCTTTGTGAATCTACCATTGAAGCCAGATCTGTTTGCATCTACCATCAAAGCCAGATCCGTGTGCACCCACCACCAAAGAACTGAAGACTGAGGACCAACGGGACACCGCTGGATCCACGGTGGTGACTATTCTTGCAGCCTTATCCCACATCCTTGCTTTATTTCTGCCTTTTCCTTCCATTCTGTGCTATCGCTACTCCTCTTCACCTTTTCAATAATAAAAACCTGTTTTGGGTATATGGCATTTGACTTTGTTTGTGTCTTAATCTCGCTCTTGGGATCATATCGAAACCTTTCCCGACATTAGATTGGGACAGAGAAACTCAGCCCATTAGCAGCACACCAGCTTTTAATGCTGTCAAAAATGGTAATTCCACAGAAGGAAAAATTTGCCTTTGAACAAGGAAATAAGGGCTCAGAAAGCTCAGTAAACCTACAAACCTAGCTCTATGAAACAAAACTAAGGAACACAGATGTTCAAAATCTGTAACATCTCATAAGCATTTGGAGGCTTGCATGCATCCTTGGTAGAGCAAGGATCTGCCAAGTCAACTTCACAAGCGTGTTTTATACTGTGCCTGTATACTCTGGTGATGGATTCCCATGTTTGGCAGTTTCGTACGTGACAGAAAATGGAACTATCTGCATGACCATCCATGAAAAGGAGAACACAATCTGCTGTCACTGCTTTACTTATTAAATATTTCATATGCTACAAATGCTGTTTTGTTTAAAAGTTTCCTCCTGAGAAGCCCTATTTCTAACATTATATGGCAAGAAAGAAATGCACATTAAGAAAAGAGATTGTATCTAGCAAAAAAGAAACACTGGGCATGAAACATAATTAAGAGAGCAAATATTTAGAGAGGAAGCTTGTTAAAAACAGCACTATAAGAAAGCAAACAAGACCTCATCCCCCAAATTACCTGGATATTTCCCGGAGATAAACAGTGTGCATTGCCTTCTTCAAATGAGGTTCGATATTTTTCCAGAGTTTGCGGGTGTCACGTTCATTTGCTGCAGCAAGTCAGAATCACCTCTGTTAAAAAATTAACTTGAACAACACAAACGCTTACCTCTGACATCTGAACAGCCACAGGCATGACATTAAGTCTAACACCCCAACTCTGAAATGCTGTATTAGGATGATGCACCATCATCATCCATTTGTAAGCATATGCAACCACAAAAGGCTGTTTCTCTGTGGTTTCTGTGAGACACTCTGGGACAGTTTAGCAGAAATTCTGCTCTTATTCTCTCCTTTTAGCCTTGACAGAGAAATTACTTATCCCATTACTTTGCAGAAGTCCTGGTTGTTGAGTGAGGAGAAAGATTTATAGGGGGGAAGCAAGTTTCCATGTTATTTCCATCTCATTTCCATAAAACACCACCAACAAATGTCATCTACTACTTCTGCTGCAAATGCTGCTATTGGGTGCAACCAGAGTAAGCAATGCTGTTGTGACCAGAGAAACAGTCACAACACAATGAGGACCAAAGCAAAAAGTCCGCCACAAAACTCACAGGAGGGCACCTACACTCTCATACACCTGCTCAAAATCAAGACAGAAGCTTACCTTCTCCTCTGACCACTGGCTCACAGTATTTAGAAAAATTGAGTGCTGCCTACAGAAAGTAAAACACACAACACATTAAAAAGGTACTATATATTTGATCTAGCTACAGAATATAACAAGCAGCACAATTCATCATTTTGCAAAACCAGTTAATTCTTTTTGAGTCAATAATTATGCCATTTGCTTCCAAACATTATATTGTAAAACGTTCCTGTAGATTAGAATACAAAGAGAAGTAATGTATCACAGGTTACTTGGTTTGATCTCAGCAAAAACTGTTTACTGTACTCAGGGTTTGCATTTTTTTAAAATAACATAGTCATTAAACATTGTAAATGTAAAAAAAAATTTTTGCATAAGCTTCTTTACTCCCTTCATTTTCAGTTAAAACTTTCCATTCCAGAAGCAGTTCAGCATGTAGGCCTCAGAAGATAATTTTTGCTTGTGTAAGTATTTTAAAAAACCAAACCAAACAACAAAGAAAAAAAATCCCCTGCTAACACATTCCATATTCAAGCAAACTCCTTTTGCCTAAGGTAAGATTGGGAGATTTCTGTCAAGCATGTAACTGAGATTTTTTTCTAAAATTATTAAATCAATATCACACAGAATTCTGTGAAGTAACAATTCTCACACTTCTTTCTTCTTTTGTCCTATTGCACCTTATTAAATCTCTGTGATAGTATACAAAACTGAATGCAGTAACTTCCACACATAAATCCAGTATAACTCTAGAATGTATTATTAATAATCATGCATAACATACACATTTAGAGCCTGTATTTGACACTATGGAGTTGTTGAGAAGCCCACACACTTGTACATGTCGGTCATTTCCTTATATAAAGACTTGTCAAGAACAAAAATAATTTAAGGTCTCATTACGTTAAGTCTTTTCACAATGTTGGTATTTCACACATACACAAACAGTACATCTAAAGCTAATGAAATTATTCTGATAAGCAGAACCACTCAAGTGCATGTCTAAAAGGACTGTGACCCTAGTTTCTATTTGTGCCTCCATCAGTTTTCAGCAATCTCATTTAAATATAAAACCTCTATAGTCAACAGAAAAGTTCAGCTGAGGTTTAGCTACATCTTCCTGACAGAAATGCAGGCAGGACATTCAGATCATCTCACTAGCACTGATTTGTTCACTGGCCATAACCACTGATCACTTCAAGCTTGCAAAACTTCCTTGTGCACAGCATAGTTATTTTAATAATAATTTGATTAACTAGTAATTGTTATTGCTATTTAGCTCTTCTTAAGAAAAGGTCATTAGCAAGTAATTTTTATTTTTCTTCTGTTAGTCTGCCATTACATTCTTCAATTGATATATGATTAAAAGTCCTTTTTCCAAGTATCTTCAATGTATGTTTGTTCTCTCAGGCATGACTATATGGCAGGAACTTTGACTTACCTATTTTATTCTTAATTCCAAAAGACAGACAATGAAAACATTTATGTCAATCCTTACTTCTCTAGGCCTTGGAGTCAAAATAACACGCTAAGTTTCTGTAAAACCGTGCAACAGATCGGGCTTGTAGCAGCTTAGTTACTTGATTTGCCTCATACAGAAAATCTTAAGGTGAAAATTTCACACTCCTAAATAATACAGCAAAATGTTTCAAATTTTAAGTTAAATTTCCCATAAAATTGAAGTATAAAGAATGTTGGGTGGCAAGATACGTTTAATAAACATGGGAAATAATAGAACTTGCGGCAGGACATGCTAAGACCATGTAATTGAAGTGGTTCCTTCAAATGTTTAAAGCAGCTGTCTGGCACTCCACTGCCTAGTCCAGGAAACGAATACAACAAAAGGCTACGTAGGGATTACAGAAGTCCACGCGAACAAGAAGGCAGCAGTAAGAGCAAAGTCACATAACCACATGTAAAAAGAACTTGAAGTGAAAAGCAGCACAGTGAGGCCTATCATTGCCTGAGAGAGTAAAATCCTAACTATTACTTCCTCTGACTGAATTGCAAACAAACAAAAAAAATAATTAACCAAGCCTGTAATGGAGTAGTCCCTCAAAAACTGCTGCAGTTCCAGCAATTGTTTCTACTGTACTTATCAGTAGGCATAAAAGGTTTCATCACATTTATCTCCTTATCCCAACAGGTGAAAATAGGTAGCCTAGCTTCTCAGTCACTCTCTGATATCAAGGAGCAGCTTGAGCTCAAAAACCCCAACAGAAGTTCCAGGCTGGATGAACCACATGCAGGCTGGCATCCCATTAGTGCTGCTTTTGTTGCCTCTGACCATAAAACTACATAGCAATAGAAACCCTTTACAGGCACCAAAGCAACTGCAACCTTTGTTACGGATTTGTAGGGAAACTGCATTTCAAGGTAACATGTCCTTAAGAGGGAAGATTCAGACTAGATACAAGGAAGAAATTTTTACGATGAAGGTGGTGGAACACTGGAACAGGTTACCCAGAGAGGTGGTATGCTCCCATCTCTGGAAACATTCAAGGTCAGGCTGGATGGGGCTCTGAGAAACCTGAACTAGTTGAAGATGTCCCTGCTTGTGCTGGGTTTGTGTGGTGGGGTTTTTGGTAGCAGGGAGTGGGGGGGCTACAGTGGCGGGCCCCATGAAAAGCTTCTCAAAGCCCCTCAGCTCCAAGTCAGATCCACCTCTGGCCAAGGCCGAGCCAATGGGCAATGGTGGCTGCACCTCTGATATAATATATTTAAGAAGGGGAACCTGGGAGGGGGTTGGGACTTGTGAGAAGGGAGTTATAAGAAGGACACCTATGTGAACACCAAGGTCAATGGAAGGAAGGAAGAAGGGGAAGAGATGTGCCAGTATCCCTTGATGAGATGGCAGGGTCACCCCCCTGCCACCATGGAGGTCACCACTGGAGCAGAGACTCGCCTGCACCTTGTGGAGGACCCCACACTGCAGCAGGCAGCTGCACCTAAAGGAGGCCAGGACTCTAAGGGAAGAAGCTGCCGCTGTTGTAGTTCAGTGCTGGGATAACTGAAACACATGGGGGTGACACTCACCAGAGTAGCCCGGGAATGGTTGCAGCCTGTGGGAAGAACTCACACTGGAGAAAGTTCATGCAGGACTGCCTCCTGTGAGAGGGGGGCCAAGTAGAGAAGGGGAAGAAATGCAGGAGTGTTTCTACCCCTCAGGCGGAAAGGGCAGCAAACTGACCAAAAACCCCCCATTCCCTGCCCCGTGTGCTACTGAGGTAAGGAGACAGAGATATCAGGAACAAAACTGAGCCCAGGAAGAAGGGAGGGATGGGGGGAAAGTGTTTTTAAGATGTGGTAATGCTTCTCATTGTCCTACTCTGTCTGTTAAGTAGTGTTGTTTTTAGAGTTTGAATTAAAGCAATGTTATTTTTCCTTCCCTAAGGACCCTGTCTTTTGCCAGTCACCATAATGGGTGAGCCACCCCTAGCTGTCCTTATCTCGATTCCTGAGCCTTTTGCTTCATTTTCTCCTTCCCAGAGCTGGGGGAATGTGTGAGTGAACAGTTCTGTGGGCTCAGTTGCCTTCTGGGCTCAAACCAGACACTGCTCCATGCAGGGGGCAGTGGACTAGATGACCTTTAAGGTCCCTTCCAACCCAAACTATTCTATGATTCTATGATTTTTCTCTTTGTCTGTATTCAACAATAAATCTAGACTTTCAGAATCCGCTTGGCAAAACACACCCCAAAACAAAACAACTCTAAAGGAGTTCATCTCACCAAATGCTGAAGTTCTTTCAAGTCCCTACAGACCATGTAGAATACACCAAGCAGAATATTGATATACGCAGCATAGAAATCCGCAGAATATTCGGGGGGATGATTCTGAGACAAGATTTTCTGCAGGTGTCCTGTTTAAACAAAAGTAAATTTTGCTTATTTAAAGCTAACTTAATAAACTGACCCCATTTTACACGTTAAGTGGAAAAACAAACTATAATCATTACTAAAAAAAAAAAAAAAAAACAAATCCAACAAAATCTACACAACTAAAAGAACCAGCAAATATACCAAAACATTACTTTGAGATGTTCTGGCAACTGCAGAGATAAGTCTTTTAGAGGTTGTGTGAATATAGACTTTTACATTCTAGTAGCTATTACATATTCCAGATTCTGTAAGAGTCATACTGATAAACATGGAGTAAAACATCTGGAAGTTGTCAGACAAAGTACTACTCAATCCCCAAAAAGCAGATTAAAGATTTACCTATGCTGTAATCAGGAAAATACAAGGTGAATGGCTCAAAGCATCCAATACTTGGACGGAACAGTTCCCATACTATTTCACTGAGCAGGACAACTGTCACATTTCTGTCTGTCTGCACAGGGAAGAAAGAAAAAAAAAAAAAAGAGGAGTGGTAACAGGCAGAGAAAGAAAATAATAATACTAAATGTTACAATATCAGTGAGAAGAATTATTACTGTGACTTTTCTGTTCCACAAAAATCATCAAATTTACAGTTTAATACAAATGACTAGCAAAGTAATAAAGCATCAAATGGTCTAATCAAGGTCATACATTTGCAGATTTTCATAATTACATGAGTTTTCTCTGCATCCCTTGCCATTGCACTGACAGTGTGGAGTTACAGAGCTCTGGGAGTAGGCAATACCAAGGAGATTCCATCCCTTAATCCCAAAAATTAAGACAGCATTTTACTTGGGTCATTAAACTCAGACTTTCAGAACCAACAGGAAGAAAGGTGAAAGAAAGTTCAGTGCTTTCTGAAACGAAGCTATCTAGTACTTTATTTTAAAGATAAACTGGTCTTTAAAAACAAACAAAAAAAAACATGCCAAACAAACATAGTATTAACTGTGTACCCTACCAACCGTTTTACTAGTTACAAACAATGGTTAAAAAGAATATGTCACTATATATAGCCAAGTTTTTATTGACAATATACTTGCCTTAAGTTTGGTGTTTTGGATGACAAAACCACTTCATGTTAAAAAAAAAAAATATTCCTTAATTTGCTCACCCTTCAATATATCAGCTTTATAATATGAAACTAACTATCTGTGAAGAGGATGCCTGGTTCTTCCTTTGAGCAAGGCTTTTGCAACCATAACAGAAGTTCTACATAACAAAAGATGCTTTTAAATATGGTTCAAGAAAGAAGTTTCAAAACTTCTGAGGCACCTCAAGAAAATAAAAGGAAGTAATGTGATTGAATTGACAATGCTGTGAATTACTTGAAAGAAAAGTTTAAATGATATTTCCCTTCACTGAAATCCAGTGAGAAGCTTCATTTACTTACTCTTCCCTCTTCTTGTCAAAGTGGCACCCACCCATATTCTTTACTGGTTTTTCTCTATTTTTATGGAACTTGTTTCTTCTTTAATGAGAGAACATTTCTGTAAATTTCTTTCAATTGTGCTCCTTTCCCAGATTTCCTAGTATTTTAGCTGAGCAACGTACTAAGGTATTTTCAGTTCTGACAGACCTGACAAGACCTTCCTATATGAAAAGCTTAAGTTCCCACCATAACCCTCACTGAAATCAAGCATCCCATGACCCATTATTCACCAAGAATCCCCCAGTCCCATGAAATCTTTCACCACTAATGAAGTTTCTTGTCTCCTTTCACTCCAGGAAAGGAAGTGGTGCAGTACATTTGTTCCTACAACATTCCTCTGCAACATCAACTGCACAAGAATTTTACAAAGCCTCAGTCCAGAATCCAGAATTTAAGCAACTGGAATCTTAGCATTCAGAAAAGCTGACAAACTTCTTTGGAGGTTACTTTTGAATTTGAGAGTGTTTCTCTAGCATATTTAAGTCTTAGCCTATTTTTTTTGGTCCCTGAACAGCAATCAAAGTTTTCCTCCTCTTCCGTCAAACACGGGCAGCAAAATCCAGAACACGGGCAGAACAGCCAAAAAGAGTCAGAAAATGCACCAGCTGCCAGGATTAAGAACACAGCTGTGAATCAGTCTTCATTCAGCAAATAGAGAAATCAATGTCACCAGAACATTAAGAGTACCACACAGAAATCTTAAGAAGAGTAATTTCAGCTATTTAGCTGTACAGACATTTCAAAGTACCACCATCTTCTGCTTCTGTCTTCAGTTTCTTTTCAAAGGATGCATTATTTTTCCTTATTCCAAGGCATAAACTTTGATACTTCAGAAGTGACAGAAGGAAAGATACAGTAGTTTACTCCAGAAACAGACTGTTGTACCATTCCAGTAGAAGCGTAAAAACTCTCTGCCATCAAAAAGCCCATTCACAGCTGCCACAGCTGTAGCCACAATTAAATCACTGGTACTCTACCCACCATCCTCAAGATAGCCACCACACAATGCTGTGAAGTTTCACATGGGAGAAACTTGAGGAAGACAAACGTTTCCTGAGTTGAAAATTGACACATCCAGTGCTGAATTCACTCTATGTGGTTGAGCTCTGAATCAGCAGCTGACTCAGAAGCAGACTTTGGATTCCCACACAAATATGTGACAAACTCTAAAAGGGTTTGTATTTATGTATTTGTACCAAGACAACAGGAGCTATGTTGAAACTTCTCCTTACAGATTATAGTCTGCCTGAGATGATTTTTTTTTCTGCAATTATTACAAAACATTAAATGAAGAGTAGAAAAATTTCATTCTTCTTAAAAACAAAAATATTCTAGAAAAGATAGCTATGTATCTGACACCAGCCTCAAAAGAACTTACAACAGATTAGATATCATAAAACAAGATACTATTAAACAGAATTTTTTTTTTTTTAAAGTGTAAGAAAAATCTGCCAATGTTTAAATTCTGGTTTAGTTTCTAGTTTTGACCACTGCCAGTTGACTGGCAGATGAGTTTTGCAACTTTTCTCATCTAAAGAATCACTTGTCTTGATATGTGAACCTAGATGGACAGACAACATGTTCAGTTACTTTCACTATGCAGGAAACTTTTTTTTCCAGACACTTACCAACTCTTGAAGCCTAAGAAATGCTGGCAGGATGTTTGCTTCCATTTCTCTCAGTTGCTCTGCTCTATCCAGTACCTTTTAACAAAACAACGATCTTATTATACAGATAATGTCACCTTCCATTCTCACATGGACTTAAAATTAATTCTTAGCTGCTGGAAACTCAATGGCTCTTAGACAGCAGAAACCACTTAAATATCAAGACCCCTTAAACAAGCAACATCAGAGAGATTATTCTTCAGGTGTGCTTCCAGGAAGCCCAAGCAGCTCCACCATCTAAAAAGAAATACAATTCCCAGACAAGCAACGTTCTCCTGCCTTGTGACAGTGAAAATTAAAACATAAGTCATGAATGTAAGTCAAGAATATCACTGACAAAGCCCTAACATTAACTGCCATTGAAACATCAATTTTTGTCCAAAATTCTTCCTATATTAAAAAAATTGTGTAGTACTGCAGCACTATATCAAAATGCTTACTGCAGGAGAGCTATCTTTTCCCACTATGAAATTATTTCTCAGAAGCAAGAGCTGATATTTTCAAAAAATTAGCTATCATCTGGAATTCACACAACTGAATTTTGAGAGTAACTTTTCTTGTCATAGTCTGCACCATAGATATTGACAAGATTTACTGCATTGTATACAAACCTGGCATAGCACTAACAAACTCGTAGCATATGCAGAGCTTAAACAGGAAGCATTTTATCTAACATGTTTTGAAGAGAAAAAAATAGCAGCATGAAAACATGCATGGCTATCCTTTAGCTAAAAGAATTTGTATTCTCAGTACATTTAAAATCTTGACAGGGACAAAAAAACATAATAGAAACACATTTCTTTACTGTTTTATTTATTACTTGAAATATAAATATAAATTCTGAAGTTCATTACTTCTTTTGAATAATTGCTGTTGAAAGAAAAACTATAGATCCCTACAAAATTGTATTTTTCTATCCTTTTACATTTCTTCCCCACACCAAAGCATTAAGACATCTATCATTTCTGTTGGCCGCAATAAGAAAAAGAATTTTATGTGGACAAACAAGAAACATTTTATGAAAACAGTGTTTCAAAGTCACACCATAACAGAAAAAAACCTGAAAGAGCAGTATCTCTGCAATAATAGCTCATGCTTCTCAGGAATTTATTTTAAACTGCAATACAATATACAATTTTATACTGATATCTACATTTGGTTTATATAATAAATTACTTCAGGGATGAAGACCGCTTTACATTACTGACCAAATAAAGGCTACATTTTTATGAATAAAATACTGCTGATTGGACCCCATGACATGAAGCTACCAAACACAAAGTTTAAGGTCTTGACCTAAGTAGATCTTACCTTTTAGCTGGGTGAAAAACAAACTAGAGTTTCTATTTACAGAAGATAAAATATACTGTGACCCTAGCTTGTGGAATATGTCAAGTTGTTCACAGAAATAGGCTACCCACAGACCTACAAATCCATGCCTCTTTAGTTTTAATACAGATTTATCACCCTTTATCTTTTCTAAAAACAGCAGCTTGGTACTTCTGTAAAGCACTAAATATTGTAAATGTATGAATGACTACAAGTTACATCGGTTCTGATTTTTCAGGTAGTTAGAATGAATAAATTCATTTTTCACAAGTAATCACAAGCATTCAGCATCCATGCTTGAGTTATGAGAAGCATTTAGAATCCTTTGCTTGAAAGTAAACATTTGTCTTAATCTGCTCTGAGCTAACTGGGCCGAAATATTACATTATTTACTACAGAAATTAAATAGAATAAATTAGTATTAACAGTTTATGCTACCAGCATGCTGGTCTTCCACCAGTCCCAATTTAAACCACTCTACTATAAATACAGATGACACAGGTTAACATACATTAACTGTTTTCCCCCATTCCTGTCTGTTCCTATGCAGAACAAAAATCAATACTAATTTAATAGTTAATTCTTCTGATTCAGCAACTATTTATGTGATACAGTTGAACCTTTCCAAGTATTTAATGGCTTGCTTTCCATAACCACTGTTCAAGAACTTTCTAATTTTCTGAGTGATGATAATTTTCCTATAACACATGAAGCATTCTTTACTGATGTACAACAGTTCAATTCAAATATTAATCTGAAAGTAAAATTATATAAAGCATTTTGAGAAATTCCCTAAAGATTATTTTAGTGCTAAATTTTGTTCTTACAGAATTGCTGAAGGATGCCGATACCACTTTTGTGATGGTAAATTAAAATGAATTATCTGTGTATAACTTCTTATCTGTTGTAAGTACTGGTACATTTTTTCTTCATTCAATGATTAAGAAGTATGTCAAATTTATTAACCTCATGAGCTGTGGGAAACTATGAGATAGTACTGTTTTCACCAAACATGATATGAAGTCATTTAATTCAGTGGGTATTTTTGAATGGAAATAAAACTTACTTAACTAACCTGTGAAACAGAAGGAAGAATGTTTGGTGAAGTTAAGAACTACTTGATTGACTACAAAAACAAAAGTAGTATGCCTGTCGATTGCTGTGAGAAACATACATAGTGATTACCCAGGGTCATTAAGCTTTCAATCTTGAACCACTTTTCTGTTTTCTTAAATAATCAATCTGACCTCTTAAAAAAACCCTTCATTCCTACTGCTGGGCCGAAATCACAGTCCATGTCTTTTCGCAGGTCCACAATGCATACATATAGTCACATATCACTAATAGGTTTTGTTCAATCAAGTGAGAGCTGGAAAAAAAAATTAGTTTTGAGGAGTCTGTCCTTTCTTCAAACCTCTGTTATGCCTGAGATTTGTTTCTATGTTCATCTCTCAGCACTATAAATGCTGTTACAGATTGCAAATTTTGACTTCTCCATGTAGTTATCACAGAAAAAAAAAAAAAAACAAGAAAACCTTGTATTCTAGTACTATATTGATTCTATCATTCCTGTGATCTAAATTTAGATTATTTTTCCTGCAGTCTGCCTGTTTATTCCCCTTGAGTATATCATCAAATTTTTCACTGCAGTCTTTTTTTTTCATCTTAATTTTCAAGCTACAGTTCTTGACTCCAAGGGCCACAAGTGTAGTTGAAGATGTAAGATCTAAACAGCACTTTTACAGAGAAAATTACACATTTCAGTTCCTTAATACAACTTCTAACTTGAACCTATTCTAGTCAACCAATTCTTGTCATTTGTGTGATCCATAATTCACTTCTGCCCTGCCTCCCACCTTTGCTTTTTCATGTGTGAAAATATCTTCACAAGGAAACAGATAAGCATGACTTACTAATTATAAACCAAATACAGGTTTCCTATATTTAAAGATTTTGTAATATTATTACATACCTAATTTAACTATACAGTACAATTTATGTTATTAGTTATGCTATAGAGCTTTTGTCTATAAAAAGTCCTAAAACCACAAAAAACGGATCCTCATGTAAAGACAATAAATCAATGGAAAGAATCTAAACAGTATCAACAGATTCTGAATTAGATCCACAGGGAAATTTTGTGAAAACTTATCTATATTTTTGAAAACTGATCTATAATGCACATATTCCACATACAAATTATTGATAGCAATTACTCACACTCTTAACCAAAATGAAACTGAAACACTAAAATTAAATTACTTACAATGTATAATGTTTGATCTTCAAGCTCTCGACTCACAACAGCTTGTTTAAACAGACGTACAAAGTCATTGAAAGTATCACAATGCACATGAGAAGTCTGTTCTCTCTCAGAACAGCAGCTTTGCAACTGCATGAGAATTTCTTCTAAAAGAAGACGTGAAGTAAAGTATTCCACGCAGTTCACAAACACATGAGGAAGCTGAAGAGAATAAGAGAGAAAAAAAAAAAAAAAAAGACAACTCTATTTGGCTTTTTTAGTGTAAATCATTTTCCCATCCAGATGAGACAATGAAAGAAACTACACCCTGCCAACAGAATATAGAGCATAAACCACAAAACCTTGCCAAAAAAGATTTATTACTGATGTACCTAGTCAAAATACTATATACCACAAAGTGGAGAGATATGATGAATCCTTATACAAAACATACAGTGTATCTTCCAACTATGTTTAAAAACTGTGAGCAATACACAAAAGAAAACTAAACAGCATTTAGATCAAAGAAAAGCTAGACAATTTTAACACATTACAGTATCATAAAATAGTCCGTTACAAATTACAGTGTCTGGATAACATGAACTTCTCTAGCTTATATTACAAAGAAAGTAATCTAGAAGCACAGTCCCCAAAATTACTCTGAATGTTTCTGGCATTCACTGCATACAAATGATAAAGTGTAAGCTTCTATATCAGACACATGTAATCAGCCTGCTTGTGCAGAACATTTTTAGAAAACCAGATCTTTTCAGAGTGAAGAGTGTGTGAAAAAAGTAAGAGTCTGAGATACAAGTATATTTTATGGATTGCCATAAAATGTAAGTACCAATTTAGTAATATTGCAAAGTTATGGTCATTTGTCTATAAATAGAAGGCACTATAGACTACAAAATAGTACCAGTATTCAAACCTACGTAAGGTAAAAAAAGGTAATTTTTTAGCAACTCTGCTTTAAGAAATAGATTATTTGCATAGCTCCATACTCTCTGGTAAGGCATGTGCTCTTTTTTACACCAAACATTAAAACCTCTGGAAAACATTAGTCATTGGGATACATATGCATTACTTGCAAAATTAAACTTATGATACAGGAATGTGTATATAACAACAACAAATATCTAAGTACGTCATTCCGGTCTTTCTACTTAAAATACAATATGGCATATGATTCAGCAGATGTGGGAAAGTGTGGGTATATGCTGGAATCCACTCAAACAGCATGTAATAAAAGGTTTTCTTACAATTTTTAAAACTATTAAAAGGAAGGGACTACATCTCCAAAAGCACCTTTCAAAGTGCCGCACCTCCATAGCGGAAGGAAAGCTGGGTGCCTCCGATGTGATTCACGACACCATATTAAGTAGGAGAAACCTATACTTAGCAGTAGCAAGTTCTGTAGAAAGAGTTGTTGCTTAGTTATATTCCTTTCCAGGATCTGGCCACATCTTTGGATATGTTCCAAGTGGGTAGCACAGTGTTAGGAGCATTGCACAAAAGGCTACTGCATGAAAAAGAATCACAACCACCGTCTTCCACCTTTCTCCCTCTGCAAAATTTTTTGAAAGGTAAAAGATCACTGTGTTTTTCATAAAAGCTAGTCCTGCAGATATGCGATAAGTGTGCTCTGGACATTCCACACACATGTGGAAATTTATGGCTTAGGCATGAAGCAGACACCTGTCATTGGATTTAGATCCCTGAAGCACAAGACAGACAAAAAAGCAGACACTAACAGGTTTAAATGGAAATTTCTGTGATGACACCCTTCAACTTAGAAGGAATTTAAAACCTAAAAAATTAGAACAAGGAATAAAACTAGCATGAATATACACATTTGCTAGCAGAAAAAGAAAAGCCACAAAAGTGGCAAGAACCTAGTACTTCAAAGTCTTCTGCCAACACCAATCAAAGAGACTGCAATGGACTTAAGCCATACCTCTCTACTTCATCCTTCAAGACAACTAATTTTATAAGAAACATGCATTCAAACACAATGACCCACTACTTTTATGTAGCTCAGATTATCATATGATGTTTGAAGAACAAGTTTCTCTGCCTGCAGTCTTTGCAACTGAAATAGACCCATTCCTGACAAAGTTCCTCCTTCAGGTTAGTAACATATAGCAATTCCAGGATTAATCATCAAGGATATAACTCATGTCCCAGTGGACAGCATTAAAGTAGGTTTTCTTCCTCAGTAGTTCAGGGAAATATAGTTTGTAGTCCCAGTTTCCCAATTCAAAACTGTACAATGAATTCTCAGTAGTTTTCACTTCACATATTCCAACATCTGTCTTATCAGTTCTCCTGGACCTACTTCTTACTCCTACAGTTTTCTAAGAGCACGAATCCAAAGTAGAAAAAGAATCAAGAAAGCAGAAATGGCTGAGGAAATAAACCATTTGAGAAAGTAGAAGGTAGTTTGAGGGACCATCTATCGCAAAAAAAATCTTCATTGTAAATATTCTTACCTGTAAGGTGTTTAGAAGAGTTTGCATCACATAGGTCTTTCCACTAGATGTATGTCCATAGATAAAGATGGATGGAAAACTAAACTGCTGACGCTAAGAGGAAAAAAAAAAAAAAGTTGTTTCTGTTTCAATTCCTCTTCTTCTTCATTCATCAGGTAAAAAATTTATCAGTGAAGTTTCCCTCCAAAAGAAAAGTTATCTTTTAAATTGAAGCATTAAATATAAAATATGCCAATTATTGTGGAATCAGTGTTATCAAGTTTTATATTTCATCTTCACTGGGAGGGTAAGTCCTAAGCATCAAGTATCACAAAGTTACCAGTGAAAGGGCTATAACATGAGTATACATTTTTCATGGGAAAAACAAAGCAAACCAATTAAAAAAAAAAAACCACACCAAACAAACAACAAAAACACACAACAAAAGAGAAAAGCAGTGGGGTCTTAATTCAAATTGGTTAACTAACTGAAACAAAACCTTGGCAAGCACAAACTTTATATTGTCCTAACTTATGCAAACACTACAAACCGCTTTTCTTTCCATTAGCATCAAACAGAAAAGAACTAAATTTTACTACTTTGGTAAAGGAGATTGCAAAGGAGCTCACTCTCACAAGGCAATATGTGATAGAATATCTCTAATCATTTAATGGTACTAATGCTGTATATTTCATGGATTTTTTTTTTTTAAGATGCAAGTAAAATAAGTAACTTCATTTCATTCTGAACAGGTATTTATTTTTGTGGTTTTCTCATTTCTAAGAATCTTGTACGCTGACTTAAAAAATTAATGCAAAATTAAATTTGACAAACACTTTTTATGAAAAACAATTATATTCAATTAATCCAAGATAAAGGCACTCTTGTGAGAGATATGCAGATGCACTAACCTGCACATTTACAAGAATTTAAGTATCTATTTTTTTAAGACGACTTGTTGCCATTGCACTTGTAATAAATACATAAAACTTAAATGCTGTAATTTAATGTAATTTTATCTATAATTAAAAACAGAACCAGAAACAGGTAGTAATTTACACTTTGTTCACTGAATGTAAATGGATATATCAACTGCTTTTAAGCTTGCAAATAAAAATCGCCATTACTTTTTACCACAGCTTTACCAAGCAGTAACAGAATCAATTAACAGGCCAGTGATTTCCACATCTTATGGCCTGCAACAGAACTACTAAGAATCAGAGTAATTTCACGTACTTAGAATTCAGATATTAGATTAACAAGTCAAAATCAAACAGAATTTCTACACTGCCACTGAAAAATAAAATACTTCAGAACTTCAGATGAGGGAAAGAGACTCACTTCCTGGTACTAAATGGCAAAGATGGAACAGAGTCATGAAGAAACCAAGTTTTAGAGACAGCAAGGCACAAATGGCTGTAAGTTTGGTTGGGTCCTTCCAGCTGCAAATCAGCTTTCAATATTCAAACTTACTATAATCTATTTGCCAAACAGTAATGTCAAAGATGGGCAATTAAAAACAAATAAACAAAACCCAAAGAGACAACCAAAGTCTGTTCATAATTACATCACAAAAATGCCCTTAAATTTCTATTCTCCTCTGAGGCAGCAGAACATCTTTGTTCTATTCAAACATGCAATATATAAAGGACTACCTCTCCAAATATTGACAGCAACATGGACACTTGGGATTCTCGACAAGGCACCAAACTTTCCAAGTGAAGCAGTGTAGCTGCTGGGTACGCTGGATGTTCAAGATTGGGCATTTTGATGTTCCTGTAGTTAGTCACCTAAATATGCACATCCCATCTGAGGTCCAGAGACAAGAAAAAGTGATCTGGAAAATAAAATATTTTAATTATTTGCTGTCATATACATAAAGGAAGAAAATAAACAGGAGTTGACAAAATCTAAACAGACCTTCTACCTCAGAATAATGGTATAATTACAACAGACTTAAGAGACTTTCTCAAAATGGAACTTTACTATGTAAGACATTATACAGACATTTTCACACCAGACAAAAAACTCAGATAAAAAGGGAAAGGTATACAGGGTATGAGCAAATAAGCATAACAAAGAATCCTCATAGTTTATTTAACTGGAGAAATACCTATTTAGTTCTGGGTTTATATACATTTAAAAGTAGCAAGAGAATAAAATGAGGAAAGTAGAATAGTCACAGATCATCACCTCCCTGATGGTAAAGACTGAAAATACTTCTTAAAAATAGTAGGAGCCCAAACCAGTTTGATAAAACTGTAATATTAACTACTGTCTACCTTTTAAACAAGGACTAATCAAGAAAGATGAAGAGTCTTGATTATCAAACGCTGGAAAGGCTGGATTTTAGTGACAGAACACTGAAAAACATCTCAAAGATACTACTTTGTCTGCAGCTTCTAGAGCTGCTGGAATGACAGTACGTTTGTTTGTAGGTTAACAACAACATGCAGAGAGAACTGAAGTAACCTCATGACCTGAATTCTAACTTCAAATGCAACATAACTTAATCAAATGTAACATAACTTGACATCCAAAAATAAAGTTTAGAAATTTAGATAGCACAATAAAGATATATCTGCAAGTTATCAAGACAAAGATAATAAACAAAGCACTCCAAAGAGATTTAAAACATAAATATTTACTGCCAAATATGTTATGCTGGGCATAAGTACAATACCACATGAAAAAATATTAGGTTATCATAAGGAGATCAGAAATAGCATAGGAAACTGAAAACAGAAGTAAAAAAGCAATATTGGGTTGCACTGACAGGGGAGCTACTGGGCTACAAGGAGGTTCACAAATACAAATGTAGTTACTGAAATACTTAATAGAGTTCGTTTTGGGATCAACCCCTATTAACTATTTCCATAAATACATTTGAGAAAATATTTTTTCTTTTATTTTTTACACTTCACCTTCAGTGTTTTCTGAAGTAAAAATTGGGATTGTGGAATCATCAGCAGAAAAACAAGTGGAAATAATGAGAGAAAGGATAACCCTAATAACAGAAGTAATCCAGTATAATGAAATTGAATACTTCAAATCACACATATTTGTAAGTAATCATATCACACCTAACAAGGACTACAGTTAAATATCATGGAACTGTAAGTCTGAAGCAACCTGAAAAATAAACAAGTCAATGACATAGTAAATATGAGAAATCAAAGTAATGCAGCTATCAAAAAACCAAACACATAATCATATGTACCAGGCAAATTATTTTCCATACAGACAACCACACATATAGCCTTGGTCCATTTTATCAGATCAGCTTTGAATAGGTTTGCCCACTCTATCTAGTCAGGTATCTATTAAAAATGGAATGAAGATACAAAAAAAAAGGAATAGCTTGATTAAGGCTGCCCTCCAAAAATGAGCTAGGAATAAATATCAAGGATGAAAAGAAAAAATGTCTAAATGACAGTAGCCTCCAGAAGAGAGGACAAACAAAGAAGAAAAGCGTTTTAGAAAAGGCTGAAAAAAGTTTGCATGGATTTAAGAAAAAGGACAGCATTTTTACTCCACTGACTACATGAGAACAGGACTTAACTAAGTGTCCTAAACATATCTAAAGCTGTAAGGTACTTCAGCTTCACCCTGCTGCCCAGCTGCACTCCAGAAAAGCATAAACCACCTGTTGGTCACACTGTATCAGCCAGCCCTGTTTGCTTCTCAAACATCCCAGCTCACATCAATTTATACTAAATACATTTAAGCCACTGGATGAAAAGCTGTATCTCTGACTATATGTAGGTGTCAATGTTCAACAGGATCCCATCCTAGAGTTGATAAGTGAAAGAATGTCTAGACACACACGTTCACAAAACGATTCCTTTAGATTAAATGGCAATGCTGACAACTTGAATTCAGGATGTTCCTGACTAGGGAAGGCTGTAAAGACGTTGTACATGTGACTGTAGCCAGACCAGAAGGGACAAAAGCCACTTACTTTCCAGCTGAGACCAGGTGAGGATACCTTAAAAGACAAGCTAGATTTTATGGCTAGATTTGATAATTTAGGAGGACCTCCCTCAGTTCATTGGCCCAAAATATCTACACTTGGCACGCCTTTCCACACTGTAGAACGAAAGCTGACAGAGCTAAAGAGACCTGCACGGTTCTGCTTCCCCTCAGGCCCTACAAACACCCTCGCCCCGCAGGGATTCCGCCGGCACTGGACTGCCCTGGCCGAGGGACTGACAACCCCCGGCCTCCACAGCGCGGACCCGCTGCACGAAGCCAAGGCTCCTTCAGCCGCGCACCTGTGAGGCTGTGGGCGGGCCTCGGCCCAGGGGGCGGCTCTGACCCCGGCAGACGGGGCGAGCGGCTGCCCGCACTCCGGGCCCCTGATCCGCGCGCAGCCCCGCACCGCTTCACAGCCGGAACGCAACAGGAGCGGGTCTGCCCTTTCACCCCACTCCCCGCCCCCCAAGCGCCAGA